TTAAAAGAGAGATAAGATGAGTCGATGTCAGTTGTTGTATACACAGGTGCACATAAGGGGGCTACAAAACAGTGGAAGTTTTACAGACCTTATTGCCTTGGAAAGCTTTTTTTGATCACCTCCTGTAAGCCTATGCTCCTTTGCAATTGGTATGAAGACGACTGAATTTTTATGGGTGAAATTATATGGTTGCTTTAACTCTTTTGTATATTTCCAGTTCTATACTTTTCTGTATTGGATAGCTCCTAAGGTACATTTTATTGTTTGTTAATTTTTTCAAGATAGCTATAGGAGTAGTCATGTGGAGATAAGGTATCTTGGAGTTTTAGGTTTGGGAACAATTTTGATTAGCATAAGCTACAAGCACAAAAACGGATATGTTCATATCTCAAGGTCAATTGTTTATTCTAAGTTGCGGTTTGTCTTGTTTTTATTTGAGCTGTTAATATGCTGTAAGTCACTCGTCTAGCAGAGTATAAGGTGCTGTCAATGTGGTTCTTTGGTATTAAGTTATTCACTGATAGTCTTGTGAGCATCTTGGTTGGTAATTTTGTGTAATACAATTGCGATTGTCCATTTTGTATTTTTGTAGTAGCTTCAGATTCAGTTTTGAAGTTGAGTTGGGTTGAGCTTGAGGATTTTGTTTTTTGTCAACTGTCTGCTGTTGTATGGTCAAATGACAGTCAAATGGCAACCTATGCCTTTGTAAGCCCCTAACGTCCAACCCTGGAAAACCCTACTAATTCCCAGTGGGTGTGGTAGCCGTAGAAGATTAAACTAGTTCCTCAGGTAGTTTTTCTCTCTTACTTGTCCACACATTCTGAGTGTATGTGTCTTGCGCTCTAGGTTATTGTTAGCTTTTACATTGGTTTAATTTGGTTTATGTGTGTGGATCTTGGACGGTATTTTTATAATCTGAGCCTTTGTCCTCACCCTGAATAATGTAATTGGTAGCCTCTTTGTTAAACTTAAGAATCATTGCTTTTTTGTGCTCGCTCATTGTGTTTTTAAATGCATTTTTGGCTTTTTGAACTTGTTGAATGAAGTTTAGCTTGTGACTGGTTTTGGCTTGGGAACCGGAGGGGTGGTCTCTGTGGGGTGGTTCATAGTCCACAGTACCACGAGGTAATGTGTCATGTATTGGTTGAGGTATCTGTTTGGTTCAATATACTGAAATTTGATATTCGTGAGAGTGAATAGTATAGGGTTTTTATAATATTCTCGCTTCACGCGTTATATCCTAACTTCAGTGACCTCGACGTATACAACGTTCTTACTCCAGGTCCATCAGAATTACTGACCAGTACAATGTTAAATTGTTTTTTTATGTAGAGGTAAGAGGTTGTGGTGTTTGGTTGAAAATGAGACTATTGGTTTTTGATGTCTTTACGTATAATCGCAACATGATCTAAATGTTTTTACTTTGTTTGTTTTTCACAGTGGGACTATCATAAACCCGGTTCTCTTGCTGGGTGAAAGTTTTCTCGTGTTTTGACTTGCACTTTACCCACCACTTGCAGGTGCGTTAACTCGCTCTGTTTTATTTTTTATGTCACCTGATTGATTGCAAAGGAAGGCTATTGGGGTTGACTAATATGGTGTGTGGTATGTGTGGAGGTGGCTCTGTGGATATGTGAGAGTCGGTCCTGCCTCCCGATGCTCGCGATGCTGCCGGTTGTAATATTGTTGTTTCCCCATGTTATTTTGTCATTTTTGTGGTCGATTCTCTATGTGTCTCCTTTCTGAATTTGATGCTTGCTGTGCCTCTAAACTCATAATTTATTTTTTTATATTTATTGTTGACTATACACGAGAATCAGTTTTTTGGTCGTTGTTTTGAGCGAATGTCAACTGTAATAAGTTGGGTGTTTGGTGGTGTTTTGTGTGTCTAGTTTATTTGTTAAGTGTGTGGTGTGATGGTGTGTATTTTGAGTGTAAGTTTTGCAGATGATAGACCAGCTAAGGTGTTTCGCTTGTATTTAGTTTGGGAGATAAGAAGGGCTGCCTTAATTTTGACTTAAAGTTACCGATATCTTAAAAGTCTACATAGCGTAAGGATTTAATTCCGCTTTTCAGTAACACCCACAGATTTGGTTAGGATAAATACTGTAAACATTCGTGATGAAATTGGTAGATTTTGGTATATTGTTTGTTATTGTGGTTAGAAATAGTATTTGTTTAGTATGAGACTCTTCCATGACCTTCGTGGTTATATGGGTGATGAGAATATTTTTGTGAGTCTCTGTTGTGTTGCTTTAACAAAGCTCTGTTTTTATACACTATATTTCTTCATTTGTTTTATGGTTTTTCCCGAGTATAACAAACGTGGGCAACAAAAACGTGAGCATATTGTAATTTTCTATATGTGGAGTAATTTGGGGTAGTCATTAAGAGCATCGAATAGTTATTCATTTTTCTTTCTGTTGTTAGATGCCACCCAGGGTAACGTAGAAGGTTTTGTTCTCTTGGATTTTAAGTTCATTATGCAATATGAATTTTTTATGTGTGCAACATGCTCGCAGATTGGCGCTGAATTGTAGAACGTGCGTTTTTCATTTTTTCAGTGGTGTTTTTTTTTGTGTCAGTTTTAGAGGTTTGGTAAAATGGTTGTGGTGTCTTGGATTGTTTTGTTATAGTCGTTGTGTCCAGAGGATCTCAATCTCCACTGATTGAATTTTCTTCTGTGTGGCTACTTGCATGGCAAATGTTATGCAAAAATAAAAATAATCATTAAGAAGTTGTTGCTTTTTATGGAGGTTTTTTGTTTATGTTTTTTATTGTATTTTACCTTTTTCCTTTCCGATTCATTTATTTATTACCTGTCTTGCAATAGTGTCATTGTTGGGTTTTCAATAGCACTATCAACCAGGAAGCCACGGTGGGAATGTTGGTGGTTTTTTCTTGCGTTTTATTTCAATTCTTCTGAGGCTTGTGACCCTGTTTGTTTTTATTCACCACCTTCGCGTAAAGACTGTGCATTTTTGGACCATTTTTAGTAATTTTACTTTAGATTGTATGGTGTTGAAATTTATAAGGAGTTTCTTCCATTTTTTTAATGATGCCATTGCACAATAGCGGGTAGGTAGAAGGATCATAGGAGTGATTTTATTTTTTCAAAAGTGCTGCGTTACCAGAAAAAATAAAAAGTCTGCATTATTTTCCACGTCCTCTTTATGTTTTTTTCCCTGATGTTTTGTTTTGTGTTGAATTGATTGCCCCATAAATAGTACTCAATCCCAATTTCCCTTGGTTCCTTTCACAATCCCCTATATGAATCGTAGATAGGCCTTTTGGAGCCCATTAAAATTCTGAAACATGTATAGGGAAACTAAGTGTTCTCATCATTATGCAGCTTCCACCTATCCGCTCAAAGAGCATCCATGTAAGGCCCCCAAGGACAAGAGTTGCACTTGTTTTTAAATTCCAATCTCATTTGTTCAGTAGCTCTTCCATCACTTTTTTTTCCCATCCCGCCATCCTAATGATCGATCCCTCTTTGTGCTCATATTGTTGTTCTTATGTTGTTATTATGGGGATATTATCGGTATGTCTCAATTACTCTTTTCCGCTTTGACTAATGGTTGTATTTATCTGAGTTAAGTTGATATCTGGATGTCATTCCAGTTTTAGGTTTATGATTTTGTTTTTGCTTGGCATTTTGTTTTCTTGTAAGATTGATGGTAATTTGTTTTTAAGGGAGGCTTTCGTTATTGTGAGTGGCTTATTCTCACCTCTTTGTTTATGATATTGTTTTCTTTCTAGTATTTTTGAAGGTTTATATGTCATTCCTGTTTCAATCTTAGTTCTTTTGTGAATGAGTGTATAAGTAATCACATAAGCCATTCAATTGGGTGGTTGGGTCTGAGTGGTACAGGTGACGATACTGAGCTTAGATTATATGGCATAGTCCAGTGATCTTTATTTGGAAATTGAAAAGACCACTTAAGTGTGCCTTACTTGCTTTTTAATGAGCGTGAAAAGAGGTGATTCCTAGTTCGAACTTGGTAAGTGTGAACGAGTTGTGGAAACACTTATTTCGGCTCAGAAATAATATCAGTAGAATTTAGATAAGGAACCTGGTCCGATCAATGCGATTAGTGTACAGAATTTATATAGAAGGTTTGTGTCTTTGACGTGGCTCATTGTCAGGTTAGCATTATAAGGACACAACATTGGATATAGTAAGGGCGCCCATGTTGGAGTATGCTTGTCAAATGGGGTTTATTAGTTCGGTACGTTTTTGTTTTTGTTTTCGGTGTATAGTTGTTTTGTTTGTGGGTTTTGGTTGTGATATGTTGGGTGGGTTGTTTGGTTGTTGTTTGTATTTGTTTCAGGCTGTTCTGTTTTTTTGGGTTGTTTTGATGTGTAGATATATTTAATTAAAATTATATCCAGATCGTGGACTGTTGGCACATTGGTGTTTGTATTATAGATGTTTTTTGCCTTTTAGCCTTGTATTCGTAGACTCTTTGCTGTTATAGGTTTTACCTATGTCCAGCGTGATAAAAAACAGATATAACGAGTCGATCTATATCAAACTTAGTTGGATTAAGAATGGGACTTAATTATTCCCTAACTAAACTGTAACATGAAAAAATACAGACCAAAGCAAATGGTTGAGAGCGAGATCAGCTTCCAGGTTGTTTGTAAGGTCGCTGAAGGGAATATCTACTTTTAAATGGAGACATTTTATTTTCAGCCCAGTGTGAAATTTAAGTTAACCTAAGAAAACTGCTACTGAATAGTTTCTGAAATGTTGTTTTTTTTGGCAGATTTGGCCACATCACGCACCTACTGATTAGCTCGAAACAAAACAAAAGAGCAATCTTCGACCAAACAAGAAATCCAGCTACAGGTCAGGCCTGAATGAAGAATTGAAAACTGAATGGCAAATTCAGCTTGATTGTCGGTCTACTGTTAATCAGACACTGTTAAGCAAGCAGTTTTATGCCTTTCTTCTTCTAAAAAATAATTAAATGTTGTGTTCATGTGAGATTTCAGGGTTCCTTGTGATGATGTGACAATGACAAGTGACAGGAGCAACCCTTTACCATTTGGTTATTATGGGTTTTCCCTAAACCCTACCCAACAAGCCTAAACTAACCAAAACCTTAAAGGACCCAATGTGTGGATGGTTGTGTTTAAGAAGTTGCAAGTAACCTAAAAACCACTGGTTGTCTGTTTTTGACGACCTGGAATAAGAGAGGCTGTGAAAGTGCAGTAGGAGAAACTACGGTGTCTGCGAAACTTGCAAAGAGCCCTATCTAGAGCCCAGTGTTTGGTTTGTCAGAATGTTTGTACAAATAGAAGGGGGGTTTAACTGGGTAGAACAGCATTTTTGTGCCTCAGGGGCAACTAAAACAGGTTAATCCTGACATGTGTCTACAGTGCCATTTCAGTTCCATGGAAGTCTGTACTGTGGTACAAGTACCTTGACGTATGGATTTTTTTTCCTTGCAGTCTTGCAGTAAATGTACAGGGAGGTTACAGTGTTAGCCCCGCCGTCTGTTCAGCTGTCGACCAAGTCGGAGGCTGTGTTCCTGACTGGGCATGCGTGTGCGGCTCTGGTGTCAACACGCACTGGCACAATGGAAGAATAGAAATAGAATGAGAATAGAATAGAATAGAATAGAATAGAAGCCTTTATTGTCACTATACACCATGTACAATGAGATTAAAAGCAACTTTAATATCCAATAGCAGTGCAAAAACAGTGTAAGAAATATAAAAATATACAGTATAAACATAGGACATAAAGTAATAGTGCAAAGAAAAAGGGAGATAAGGTGCACAGTCTTGAGTATGTACATTTGTAAAATAAATATGGTGCTATGTACAGATGTTATATATATATATATATATATATATATTGCACATTATGGTATGTAATATTGCACATTGTATGGTATTGCACAGTAGGTAAGGTTTTTAACAGTGTATAATAGTAATAGTGACTGAAGAGTGTCTGGGGGTTGGGGTGGTTGGACTATGAAATCAGTGCAAGAACATGAGATTGACCCCATTCTTCTATACATAAATAAAGAAAGCTCTACATGGCCGTGATATTGTGGTTATTGTGACAGCCCTAATGAACGACTCCATATGAGACCATTTTCTAAAGCTCAGATTGTGTTTGTGAGCTAATAGTTTTTGATTGATGATTGAAAATAGCATATTGGCAATATTTTCGAGACCCCCCTACCAAAATCATGTTTTCAGGGGAGCCCATGTCTTATTAAGTGGAGACAAGCTCCCCCTGGCTCCCCTGTAGTTCACACAGTGGCAAAACTGTGTTTGGCTTCATTATTTATTTTGTTGAAATATCTGTGGGAGTAAGAAACCGAAAAATGACCTTCTCTGCCCAAAAAGACTTTTAGTGTGACAGAGTCATCTCAGACTGAGAGGAGTTAAAAAACATGCAGGGACACGGGACAATGATACAGACAGCAGACAGCTTAAATGTGCATCCAAGAAAAGATGGAAGCTACTCTGGACTGCAGGAAATTTGAAAAGAATTCTCTTCACAACCCCCACGACTGCTGCTGGACCTCAGTTAAAATGTTATCCTGGCTGTAGTCCTGCGTGTCTGTGTTGGAGGAAATAGTGTTGTCTAGTGTTCGTCTTTTTAACACTTGCCTTAAAAAGAATGAAACAGTTCTGCTTTTTCTAAACTGGACAAATATTTTAAGTGCAACAAAAGTGGATTTTTAAAAGTTATTACATATATTTTTTCCATAATTTTTCCTTGTCCTTTCCTATATTGTCTGTCAGTTCTTTACAGAGATATACAGAAACGGGTGCACGCCCATCTGGATAAGCTGTCAGGGTCTTAGATTTTGGATTTTGTGCCAGCCAGCAGAGTGAGCCTGGGAAATGGGAAAATGCTCTGTCGAGGAAAACGGGCAGGTTACTTTAGCTGCTAAGGTTGTGACTGGAGGAGGCTCAGGGGATGACTAAAACACACTGCACTGCTGCATGTAATTGCCATTCTTTTCAATCGCTGTTCTCTTACACATACACGCTGGCATACACAAACATATGTGCTCAAACCCCTTTTTCCTCAAGAATACAACTAAAATAATGTGTATTTGTTTCCCAAATAAAGTAGGAATATTCTCCACAATGTGCTCCCGTGGGAAGCCGACAGCCCACCTAAAATATGAAAGGAACCGGCGTAGAGCCTCTCACAGAGAGCCGTGCAGTCCCTTCAGTCCTTCAACATGCAAACATTGTTTGACTTAATCCACCCTAATGATGCAAATTTATGCTGTTAATTATTTCTGGCTGAATTGCATCCTGGCTAAACGTTTTCAGAAATGCAATGGGGACATCAGACTCAATAAAGTATTCAGGGAGAGAGGGGGAAGACATTATTCAGGATTCTTTCTTTCTTTTTCATTTGCATTGACTCCA